GATTGGTTGAGAAGGTGATGGTTATTAAGTATATTCGAAATATTGATAAAAGCAGAGTTTATTGTAGTAGGATTGTTTAAGGAGAGTTGAGAGTTGATTTGGTTTATGGTCATACTCATTGTTAAATTAAATTAAGAAGAAGAGTCATCACTGATTCAGGTAACTCTGGTTCAGTTATAAAGTTATTTAGTAGTTTGGTATAGTTATTCACATGGTGGTTGTCCTCTAATGGAAGATTTAAATTGACTTTTTGGTTAGATAGTATTTTGATTGTTTTTTCTAAGCTTGGAAGGTCAAGAAGAAGAGATATAATCCATTCTTTAAAGATTTCATCTAGATATTTGTTCTTGATTTTTGTAATTGTTTGTTTGAAATCCAGTGTGTCTCTGTTAAGTTGATCTCTGGAAATATCCAGTTCAACCTCTACTGTAGCAAGATTTTCTGGAAGTTTAGATTTGTCAGATTGAGTGAGATTATCCTTGATTTACTTAAGACCTAAAGAAAGTTTCAAATAAAATTTGTAACTTAAGTCTTTGATAAGTTCATCTGCCTCTTCTTGTGTAGTAACAGGGAGAATAATGGAATTATTTTCATTGTATTAATATATTGGAAGAAGAAGATGCTTGACTTTGATATAATCGAGTAGGAGATGTTTTACTGTATAGTTGTATCTCTAAACAATTTTATGCCTCTCTTAAATTCTTCTATTGTGTTGTTTACTGAAAAGTATTTAGCAAAGTAGAATGGTAATTTCTTGAATAATGGTAACAGTTGAGTGTTTAATGGAGGAAGATCAAAGTAGGATTCTGGAAGTTTGCTTGGAACATAATAATGCTCTTTTAATTTGTTTATATGGAATTTGAGATCTGCAAGCTTATATTTTTTTATAAGTGAAAAAAGATGAGCTACTTCTAGATTAAGATCTTTTGGTCTGTTTGGAAGGTCAGGTTTTTTGACAAAATAGGTAATAAAAAGAATATCAAAATTATAGAAAACTTTTAAGCTACTGACAATCTCGCTTGTATTCTTGCTTAAAGTAATTGGAACAGTTTTGAAAAGTCTAATTTTTATTGCAGTAGAAATTTTACTTGGATTGGCAGATAGCTCAAGTAAATTTTTTTGAATAAGTTCTTCACATGTTTCATATAACTCTTGATAATCAATTTTTTGAAGTATGAAATCAATGAAGAAATTAAATCCATACTTGAGAAGCTGGGCAACTTGCCAATACTTAATGCTAGATCTGTTGAGCAAAGATAGGCAACAAAGAGGATCTTGTTAATTATTTTTCTAATTTTATTATGTGTGGTTCTAGTAATATGTTTTAGATTATTGACTTGGCAATAGTTTAAGTGAAATTGTCTCTTGATTTTTTTATATTCTTTTTGATATTGACATTTGATTAATTTGTTTTTTGCAAATGTTCTGAAGAAATCACAGTTTCTGTATTTGATTTTTAAGAAAATTTCTTTAAAGGAAGTTCTTGAGGTATTTATTGATTTGTTCTTGATTTTTAGAAAAAAGTTGATTATGAATTTGACTGTTTTTTCACATTTGTTAAGTTTTTTATATAATTTTAAAATTTTTTCCTGTTTATTAAGTGAGGCATTTCTTATATCAGAAGTGCTGGTAGTATTATTCTTTTCAGTTTGGTTTTTATCTAGGTGTTTGTTAGTTTTGTTCACTTAATTAATAGAAAGGAATTCAAGAGTTTCTATTGATTGACTTGAAGAAGGATACTTAATAATTTTTATGTTTGCTGTGGCTGGTTAAAGTGGCTTATATATGGGTATGTTATGTCCTTGAGTGTTGTGCTGTATTATGGATTTGTTATTTGAGATTGTATAGGAGCCATATTGATTGCTGCTGTGTTCTAAAGATGTTGCATTAAGATGGATTTAATTAACATTGTATTTCAAAGTGTTTGCATATTGTGTGTTGTCCTCATAATCAAGTTGCATGTTATTGTTATTAATTATTTTTTTAATTAAGGCAAGAATATTAAAAGGAAATATAGGTGTTTTGGTTTTTTGCTTCAAGGAAAAAGTTTTGACTGTTTTATTAATGTTGATATTAATTTTGTTTCAGGAAATATGAAGCCTGTAAGTGAGTTTTTGTTTAAGGAGTTTTTTTATAATTCTAGCTTTGTTACTGTTAGTTAGGTAGAAAATGTGTCGATATTTGAAAAAGGAGTTTATAGTTTTTAAAGATATAGGATTTAAAATATTGATTTTGACTTTGATATAGTAATTTCTGAGTTTTTTTTTGTATATAGTAATTTCCGAGTTTTTTTTTATATATTTTGAAAGAGATTGAAATTACTTTAAGCACTTTGTGATTATTCTTTTGAAGGTATACTGATATTAATTATACTTTTGGAAGATTTTCAAATTTTGAAAGGTGAATGTTAGTAGTGAAGTTGGTAATGTATATAATGTTGGTATTGTTGTTTTTGTAAAAGATTATGGCTAGACATTTGTTAACATCAATGATGAGAACATCAAGTAAGGTGTGAGTTGGTTCAATGGATTGATTCTTGAAAAATAAGAAAGATCCTTCAGGATCCTTTACAGTTTTTTTTTATAAGAAAATTTTTGATTTTCTTTTATAATAGTTTTATTCAGATATAAGTGTGTTTTGGAAAGAGTTTTTTCAAATTGAATACTTTTATAATCAAATAATAATACTAATTTTCAAAAAATACAAAACAAATATATATTATAAATATTAATAAATATATATTGTATATGATTTTTTTAAATAAATCAATAATTTGAATTAATTATTTATATAATCTTATAATACAAAAAATCAATTAATTAAATAATTATAAAACTCTCTCTTGATCGTGTCTGTTTTGCCAAAAATTTTCCTTTTATGGTAATTTTAAGCAAGAAAAAATATTTAACACTCTTTACTGCAAGTGAGCTCCAGCTTAAGAACTCAAGAACCTTCAAGACAACTGGTGCAGTGGGATGGACCTCTGGTCGAAGTCTACTCAAGTTTGGAAGTCTTGCTTATCCTTCGGTTGCATGAAGAAAGGCCCGTAGCAGTTCTCTTCTCTTTTGTTCTCTTGCACCCTCCTTCCTTTTATTATATTATAAAAACCATCCACATCAATATCATTATACTCGCTAAATCAAACACCTTCCTAAAAACACACTCAAATAATGTTGTTGGGTCTATTGTTTGTTTTAACACAATCTTTACATACAACCTTACCTTGATGCTATTTACTGCGCTATTCCAAAATTCTCCAAAAATTTTTTTTCAAAAACTGAAATCAGTTTACCCCCTCTAGATAATCGTCACTCTTCAATCATCCAATCAGATTTCATCCAAACAACAAAGAAAAAACCGAACCTGTTTAAACCGGTTTTTCAACATCACAATAACAACAACTATTACCACAACAACAGACAACATCATCTATACTCTACTATTCATGTCAACAAGAGTCACGTCTCTAAGACCAGTGCCAGTGAAAGGGCCGGACTATTGGCCACCTTTTAGATATTTTTTTTGTTTACATAGATTTTATAGTTTAGACGACTTAGTTTTAGTTGCAGTAGCTATAGTTGTTTTTCTCTTTCATTTATTTTATATTCAAAAAAATCAAAAGATTTCACAAAACTTTGTTGAGTAGGTAGGCATAGCCGCTACTCCACTATTTGACACCTTAATATTGCTTTTGAAATTTTTTACAATATTAGTTAGATAGTGATCGGTAGGCAAGCTAGCATTTAACTTGTTGTATGCAATATGCACCCAAGAGATGTTGTTTCTTTCTCAAATGTATATATAATCTGTATATGATAATGAATAAAGAAATGATGTTTACCTGCTAGGGAAAACCCCCCCCAAAAAAAAAAAAAATTAATTAATTAATTATAAATTAATCAATATTTGATAGTACAAATTAATTAATTAACCAATTCAATTAATTGTCATGTAATTTTATTTCAACATTGATAAAAACAATATATAAAAAATGTTAAAAATCTAAAATTTCGCTTAACATAACATCGATATTTTATACAATATTTCATACGGATTTATGATAAGACTAATTAAAAAAAAAATTTTTTTTTTATATGAAAATTTGAATTAACAAAATTTATATGTTAGAAATAAGTGATAATAATTTTTAAATGCGGTAATATAATATACGTATAGTAATTATATAATACCGGAATCAATGAATATATAATATGTATTAAGATATGATATACTATCATATATATAATGGATCTATTAAAAATTATTTAATTGTAAAATAAGTATATTGTGTGGTGGAATAGTCAGCGATCGCAGTTTTTCTGCAGCCCGCGGATCCACACACCTGACTTTCAAAATGAAAACCACGATACGGTGCCTATATTGAATCCAAAATATTGTAATATGTTATGGTACGTCATTGGCTTACGTGGAAACATTATAAGCTTGTTTCATTGAAGCATGATAACTTACATGTATAGGAGTCTTTAAAAAGCTTAATTTTTGTTGTCAATTATTGATTGGAATGCTGCCTGCCGGGGCATCAATAACAAGATTAACACTATTCCTCTTAATAGGTCCAATTGAATTAACGATATATTCTCAATTACTTGGTAGATAACAGAATGTGCTCCGGGTGATAGGATATACTCGCGTATTGAGTAAGGTACAAGTGATAATCTGTTGCGTTGCAAAGAAATGAGAAACACAGAGATAGATAGATATTGCGACTCCAATATCGCCATGCTGTACCTCCCTTTTTTTTTTTTTCCATGGTTATAAAAAGGAACGAACGAATGAATTAGGAAAGATGAGGCGATGTATGTGGAAAATTTTTTCCATTTTCCATGCACTTTGCAAAAACCTCTTAAAAAGAGTACCTTTTTCCTCAGAAGAATGTCACTTCATCTTTAGCGGATTCATTTTATTACACAAATAAATGCCAAGTATAATACAAGGGTACAAGCTGGTGCAGTGTAAGTTTCTATTTTTTACGCGTGAGGATGGATGGCATGGTGTTGATGGGTTTGGTGAGAGGTTTCACCGATCTTGTTTGGCATACGTTGTTTTTGTTTTTTTTCTTAAAAGATCGTAACCACATAAATTAAGTTAATGAGGACATTTTGTTACTAGGTAAAAAAAATTTTTGCTTTTCTCAATAAAGAATTGCGGGTTTCGAATTTGCAGTCTGTTTATGTGCCCACACCGAATATTGGACTTTTGCTTTTCATTTTCATCAAACAATGCATCATCTCGAATTGTATTATTCATCATATTATAAGCACTTGTAGAGTCCATAATGCCAAAGTTATAGTCAGTAGTTTAATGTATCGAGGAATTCGGTTAACACATACCTTTGCAAATTGGGCAGTAAATATGAAAAAGCACGATCGTCCTAGTCGAAATCATTTTTTTACCTACCTTAATTGGTGTGTAACGCAAATTCTCTGCAAAATTAAAAAAAAAAAAAGATACTGTGTCCACTTTTTCAACTTGGTGCAATCAACTGTGGCTTTTTTGGAACTTTACCATGCACGGATAAGTTCCGTTGCAAGAAAAGACGCTAAAATTTTTGAAACTCAAAATCACTTTGTATATAGTATAGTAGTTCAACTTTAAATTGGCTGAATGCAAGATCTTTCGGGTATCGAAAACCGATATTCCTATTAAACGGAGTATCAACCCATTTGCAGTATATGGCATTTATGAAAGCGCTTTCGGATATGGTGCGCACGTTTTTCTTTTTTTCAATGATTCGGTACATCCAGATTGTTTATGCACGGATTACGTGCTGCGATGATAGGATGATTCTTGATCCATACACAATTGTTTTTGATAAGTTCTTCGCCAGCGGATTATTGACCCTTATCAAGTCTTCAAATTCACAATACGTCCGATTGCTCGTTATGAAGAATATTAGTAGTTCATTTCCTAAAATCAATTTAGAATTCATCGATAATCTATTCGATTCCAGGTTTAATATCAAATCGTTGGTGGATTATGAGATCGAATAATGAAATCACATTATCCGTGTATGATTTTTTCTTGATTTTTTTACGTACAGGACGTTATATTATTTATTTTTAGAACAAAAAAAAAACCTAAATCTTAGTTTTATGAGAGAAAACTCTGTGAAAAGTGATCGTATAGTATAAACAACATAAATTCGTAAAATTCGTGATGAATTACCGGATGCGTCGTATGTGCGGTGTACGATTCATCTCATCAAAAAACTTTTTTATTTATGTTTATGCGCATCGCATTTTTTCGCATAGTCTAACGTGATCACTTATAATGTGTATTACCCTTATTACCATTATCAATTTTTATTAAGTATGAATTATTCATAAGATAACAAACTTTCATACACACACACAGCAAAGATTGTTAGTTAGTTAACATAAGAAAAAAATAATAATACAGAAATAGGCATAAGAGTGTGCAAATGATAATATGTGTGTGTGTGTGTTGTGTATACAGATGAAACAGCTATCAGAGAATTAGGTTGGCTTACCATGTAATTCAATTTAATAATTCAATTTAATTGATTTGTTTTTTTTTTCATGCAATACATGACACTGAATTGCACAGTTTTAATAGAAAATCATTTCATTTAATTTATTTTAATTAATCAATCGATCAATTCAAAAAAAATCGCTCACCTTTATTTTTACTTTTTACACTTTATTTTATGTCCTGAGTTATGAATGTTATTAAAGAAAGAAAAAAAAAAAACCTTGGCCTCTTTCCTTTGTGTGAAATCTTTTTTTTTTTTTTGTCTTCAAAGATCTTTGTACAGTGTTATGCATAATTAGTTAATGTTTGTGTATAGATTATGATGTAATTGAGGACAAAAAAACATTAATTAATTCAACCTATTTTGATCGCTGCTTTGTCATCATCTCGCGCACCCACACTTGATTCGAGTTCCGAACGTAATTCCGGCTAAAGGAGAAAAAAAAAAAAAAAAAAAAAAAATTTTCGAACAAGATTTCGGCTCGTAGCTAAACGGATCCCTTGCATGGACGTACTTTGGACATATGATGATAAGTAAAGCCATGAATGGATTATACAAAAATACACTGAGTCAACTTAATAATCAACCCCCCAAAAGAATAAACGATATAGCAAATACGTACGCGGTGGCTTATGTGAATAATTCATAGATTGACGAAAAACCAGTAGAGAAAAGGAATTGCGGGGATTTGTGAGACCGTCTCATTTACCATTTTCGGTGTCCAAAGCATATGAAAAAGTAGCTTCCCCAAATATCCTTATTGCGTATCGATTTAAAATAACGACGTATAATTCTACTGCTCATACATCATTTAACGGTTTGCGCACTATTATTATTATAATAGTTAAAATAGTGGGTCATTATTATTATTAACATCAAAAAAAAAAAAAAAAAAAAAAAAAAATGCATAATACAGATATATGTACAACCTAATCAGATAAAGTATCACATATCAGCTGCTTGTCGCACATTCTACCCAATATCTTATGATCAGTTATTGTAGATTTTATATCCCCGAAACTCTCCGTTGTTCCCACTATAGTGACCGTACCACAGTACTTTCTAAAACTCCCCCTTTTAGCTGACTCAAATCGTGTGTATATTTCTCGACGAAATAACCTTCTCGCTTTTCAATTTCAATTATTCTCCTCTCCCTCGTTCCCCCCATATTTGAAAATAGATTTATTTTGTTGACATAAGAGGCTATAGAGTGGCTAAAAATTCTTGTGTTCTAGTAGTAATCCATTAGGTATATCGCTCGCTCTAGGGCTCCTCACCCTTCAACGGTTCGTCATTCCTTCTTCCGCCTAGTGAAGTAAACATGGATTCCGTGCCTTCATATTACTCAAATGACAACATTCCAATGAGTGATAAGGAACCACCACAACTTTTGTCTTCAAATTTTGTACAACCGGAAATGCCTTCAGAGTCACAAGGATATGCACCTATGTCTGACAACGGGTACCCTCAAGATCAATTCGGAATGCACTCTCACTCCTCTCTCGGTCCTGGCTTTCCCATCCCAGAACCTCCGCCCTATGAGCGTACGTATTTTTACTGTTCACCTAATGTCCGAGTCAAATTGTTCTCGATATTTTCGCCGAAATAAACTCATCATCATCATCTATTGTACGTCCAGATTTCAAAGAATACACTTGGGGGGTTCCCAAGGAATTTGCAACCATCTTACCACAAGAAGATTTCAATCCATCGTCGATTTTAGATTCCGCTGATGAGCAATTCATTTTCGATAATTTTCTCTACAATCTTCAAGCAAACCCCGACTACATATTCAATCCGTCATTGCCCACGAATATGCCCGCGTTCCCTCCGCCCCCGGACAACAGTGTGAATGGATTGTTCAAGTCCATGTGTGTGAGTCATTGTCCACCAGGTACGATACTGACGTCTTCGCCCAATCAGAATCATCGCGAATTGGCTTCATCATCACAGTTACCATCGCAAAGTTCCGACGAGAAAAGTGGATCATCCACGTCACAATCAGTTCCAGCAAAGCGCAAACAGGAAGGTAATGACGAGAGATCCATACGCAGGTCGTCCAACCCTCGACTAAGTCCGATCAACACAAAACCTAGCGTGCCTCCAACGAATAGCGATAATATCAATACCAATAATATTAATAGTAGTAGTAATAATAATAATAATAGTTCTACACCAAGTCCTCGACCAATCTCGCCGTCCATGCAACTATCCAATCTGTCCATCAACAGTAGTGGCACCAGTAATAACTACCTTGACAACGATAATGACGAGAGCCCAGGAAACACGCCCAGCAGCAGCGTCAACGGATCACCATCACCCAGAACCCCCAATCGAGAGTTGGCAAAGAACGAGGAGGAGTCAGGGTCCGCCAGTAACTTGGCAGAGACATCTTCAAATGAGAATGATAACACGACGGATGACTTTGCCGAGATAAAATCCGAGTCAAAGCCCACACCTCAGAAGTCAAGTAGAAAGCCGTACAAGGAACTTCTCACGGAAGAAGAGAAACGGGCGAATCACATTGCGTCCGAACAAAAACGAAGGAATACAATTCGTGCCGGATTTAAAGAACTAACAGACATTATACCAACGCTAAAGAACGTGAATAATTCAAAAAGCACAATTCTATTTAAGGCAGTGGATTACATCAAGTATTTAGAAAGGAGGAATAAAAATTTAAAAGAGCGCGCTGGCCTCTTGGAGATGCGAGTCGAAATGGAGATGAGACAAGGGAAGAGGTTCCATCATAATGGGTTCGGACCGACGATGGGTTTTGGTCATCAACGAGTTGGACCGATGCCAATCAGTGCGGGCTACGGGATGATGCACAACCCGATGAATGGGATGAACGGAATGAATAGCATCAACGGCATGGGCATCCCGATAGGGCCCGGTCATCCACCACCACAAACTCATGTCATACCATCATCTCAAATGTATTTCGTTTCCACCGGCACAGAGAGTCAACAACCCATGGCAACGCACCAACAGATGATTCCTAGTGGGAGTGCGGTTTCATCGGTAAATCAAACGAACAATGTATTTAGAAATGGCATGCAAATACCACAGCAGCCACCTCATCCAACCAACAATGAAACCAATAACAATAATGGACTCGTTCCAGGAATGAAAATCCCAAGCGATGACGACCAAGAGATGATGAATCATCATCATAACGGAGTTGATCCTGGAATGGTCGGAGCTGAACATGACGGGGACACATCCATGATGGTCCTGAATGGAAATGCGCCGCGTGTCGGAGTCAAATGTCTATAATAATCACCGGATATATATACATATATTTATGTTTTTTTTTTTTCTTTTTTCCTTTTCGCACTATCGTTATTGTCACTTTCGCTCTATGTCTTTTTTAACCACATATATACATCTATTTTTTTTTTAAGTCTCGTTTCTTCTTCTTTAGACATTCTAGTAATACTACTCACCTCTTTAACATCCAAAAGTATTCTTATGACCTTTGGCTAGTTAACGAAAAAAATAATAAATCTTCTTGCTGTGGCCATAATATGCCGAAAAAGAAATGTCAATATTCCTCTGTTCCGTCACGTTATATCATTTTTTTCGTTCGTTAACTTGTATAATACATTTTTTTTTTTTTTTCTTTCTTCATTTCTTCATCCTCCAAAAAGCGAAACGGAAGATTTTCTCTTTATACATAAAATTAAGCCTCGTTAAGCTCAGGTATAATATCAGTGGGTATTTATTTATTTCATTTCATTTCATTTCATATTTTTCGATTGTGATCGACTCGCAACATTCGAAGGAGCAAATGTTGATGTATTTTCGGCGAAAGATTGAGAGAAGGATTTCGTTTCCTTGTAGATTAATTTTCTTTTTTGAGAACGAGTTCGTTTTAATTATATTCTGCTGAGATTAATGATCAAAAAAACTGGATCACACTTTTCTACTCCCCATTCTTAACGAGCGAAAGACATTTCTAACGTTAGCACACGCACGTAAATGGTTAATTTTCCGTTTCGTTTATCCCTTTCGAAATTCGAACATTTCATTCTCGTACATCACTGTATGTTTTAATCTGTAAGTTTCTCCTAAAAAAAAAAAAAGGAAGAAATTTTTGTCGATAAAAATTTTCTTCGTTTTATATTCTTTTGTTAAAAAAAAAATAAATTCAATTTCTTCACAATTTCTTCTCATTGTTCATTCATATGCGTCTCATGACATGTGTTTCGTAAATGTGGCAGGCCCTGAGTTCCGATATGCTCATCAAAACTTATCAAGCAGGACTGTTGAGAAATCTTTATTTAATTAGGTGATTTTTTGGATTTTTTTTTTTTTTTTTTTATATAAAGATAAAATATTCCCGTAGATGACAAACATAACGGTTTCAAAGGTACAGTAGATGCTATGCACTTGAGAAAGAATGATAAGTTACGTGCGCTCCTTTTCTTTGAGCATTCATCGCATCGATCAAATAATGGGAAAAAGTGGAGAGGGGAGAATTTCTAATTTAAATAACATTGAAATACTAATAAAAACAATAAATTAGTTACGATGATTGACTTTTTTTTTTTTCTTTTAAAAAAAAAAAAAGAAGCCAGGGATTAATATACGGAAGGGAAGTTTAGGTTAAAATCATTATATATTATGATTAAGAATTTCGGTAAAAAAAATACAATAGTAGTAATCCACCCACTCAAATTAATAAAAGTAAAGGATAATCGTTTAACAATGGAATGAAAATGTTAAGATATGTAACGCAGGAATTTTTTCCTTGCGAAAATTGTTTATGATACAAAATATTCTCATGCTGAACTTCTGGACGAATCTATTCTTTGTGTTTCTCCTTTATCTTCTCCAGAGCCATTTGCAAAGAAGCCAACCACGCAACCTGTAATTCTTCACTTGCGGCACAACAAATGTAATTCCGTTTAGGAGTGATGATTTTGAAACAATGTTTCTTTGATTTGGATACGTCATCGATTTCAATGGCATCGAGGATATCCGAAAGATTAATGTTCTTGTGAGCACGTTTTCCCTATATCGTCATGAATACAACACTGAGTGACAAGCAACTGAAGAAAATCAAATATATGTAGCCTTTTTTACCTCATGATCCTTGTAATAACATAATTTGGTATTCTTCAGCACAAACCATCTTTTTTTCCAAGCTTTCTGTTGTTATGTGAACGAAAACTAATTAATTTGTGTATAATGGATAACAACGCTTCCAATGAACTAGCGCCTACCTTATATCTATCATGCTTGTACAAATATCCATTCCGGATTACGCGAGTATCATCATCATCCTCTTCTTCATTTCCTTCAACTTCCTCTTCTTCAGAACTACTATCCTTCCTTTCTGGGACGAATTGACCTGCCATTGGACTTGTAGGCGATGATGGACCATTGTGAATGGAACCCGCAGAGACGCGAGATAAAGATACATGAGAATTATCCCCTTCGCCTTTTTCTGTCGATTGAAATTGTGATGCCTGATGATCAATAGTCGGGGACTCGACTTCTGGTGACATCTGACCAGGTGATAACTGTGTCTCGAGTTTCAGGGAACGCGAATTCCTTGCTTGTGATTTTCCTTTCTTTGAAGTCGCAATCTCGCTGTCGGCCTGAATTCCCTCATCATCCTTATCAAGAAATTCATCATCTTGGACTTCCTTTTTGACCTTATTTATAACATCCACCCATTCCTCCAGCTCTTTTTTATTAACAGCCTGAACATAATATGTACGTTTGGGTGTTACAATGCCAAACACATCCGTTCTGTTTTTTAGCTTTACTTCAGCGACAGCTCGGATGTCATTCAAATCTAAGATCCGAAGAAGTTCGTATTCCTGTGAAAATTTTTACAACTAGATATTTAGTATATTATCTTTATGTCCGATCGGATTTCGGTTAATGATATTCCCATTGCGGACTATACCTTATCACTTTTGTAATACGCTAACTTTGTTGGTCTCAACACAAACCACCTCCGTTTCCAATTCTAAATGTGAAAGGAATGACAACGAAATGAATAAGAAATCACGAATGTGTGTGATGTATAATATGGGAATGAATTTTCTCGCACATTTCGTATCTCCTGTTTCTTTTCGAGGTATCCGGCTTTTATTATATTTTCATGGTGCAAAGTTTCTCTGGCCTCCTCGGGGTTCAAGACCCCTTCAGGTTCGGTTTCATATCCTGGACCATTGTCAACTTGATTTGCACCTTCAATTTCAGATTCGGAGGTGTCGGAAAGAGGGCCTGCCACAACTTCCAAGGGTTTTTTCTGAGAATAGTCGAATCAGGCATTATTACTCTTTTGCGTATTTACAAACTGAAAGAATTAAAACAGACATTTTCAATACCTGTTGCGCGTGATTAGTATTACGCAATATTCCCACAGGTGTGGACATTGTATTACAGTTTAGTTCTTTAAGAGCTAAAGATCGTGCGAAGGTCATTTTGTTGTGGACGATCTTAAATTCAAATTCGATCGTTGAACCGGAAATCAGAAGTCAAGTAGAAAGTCATACCAGAAGTCGGTTTTAAGACTTGTACAGAAGATGACGTTTCGGACATTCTTCTGTTAAGGTTTCGTCACCAAGAGGCTTGGCATACAATTGTGAGCAAAAGAATTTCACTACCAAGGACCGCCAAGACGTTTGAACTGTTATAAGATATTAGCTTTTCGATGTGAACTAATTTTGTATAATTAGAATTTCCACGACGGTCAAGTTTTCTAGTTTTCTCTTGGAAAAATAAAAAGAGAGTTGGGATGACAACCTACCATTGATGTACAAATTCGTATCACATTCGCGTGATGCATAATAAAAATCCGGCGCTAATCTTTCCTCAGGTCGGAAATTCACTTTTTATTCACCATACACATAACATACATACTGTTGAGGCAATTGGTGTACTGTAATAGTACAATAGACTCATACATATTATATTTGCCAAGAAGGCTACACCATATGTATATCTGGCTGCATGTTCCCGTGTAACTTGAATTTTCTATATATATATCTATATATATAAATATATATATATATGTATATAAATAAAAAAAAAAAATCATTTTTATCAAAGAGCATGCAGAGGTTGAACGTCGATTCTAATCAAAATGTCGAAAAGACTAATGACTTTCGATATAATAATTCAAAATTGAACAAAAAAAAACGCCGCGGAAGGAAAAGTAGATCGGAGAGAGAGAACACGTTCGAAGATGTTATCTCCTATGTCGAGGAAAAAAGGTTTGAGAGATTTAATAATGATCTCAACTCGAGCGATCGAAGGATTCCAATAACGTGAGATTAGTATTTTATCAACAGACAGGCACTAATGGAAAATGCATTTTATCAAGAATTGGAAGGTAAGTTTGCGATTCTTTTTTTTTTTTTAATGCATCCCGAAAGTTGCCATAATCGTAACCATTGCCGATTATTTTTGATTCGAAGAGAATATCAAAATCAAAATTCTCCCCCCAAACCGACCAACCCTCGTCGACATCGTGTGTTACGGAATAGGGAGCATCGAAAAGTCATATAGATCTCAATATCAATTTGCGTTATTGTTAATTCTGAAGAACTTGCTCAAGGTAAATCGGGTAAATCGGAGTCTACTTCTTTCGTGGTCACGTGGAAATGTAAACACATGCGACATGACGCAATTATCATAGATAACGAGTAAAATCTACGTGTACGATCCCGTGTTAACCGAAGTTGACATCGAGGTTTTGACTTATTTCAATGTAGAATTAATTAAAACTAATGAGGTATCGTCACCTGCGTTTCTTATATTTTTCATTCCATTCACGTTTTCACGTCTACTTATTTTAAGAAAGCAAAAAGAACTATCTCCAATCAAACTCTATTCTATATGCCGCACTGTCCTCTTGGATTATACGATAATTTGATCAGTGCGAATTGGGAAAGAAAGAAGCTGGAAAACATAATCATTTTCGGAAATCGATTAGAGTTCTATGGTGAAAGGTATTTACTTACTTTCCTGATGCATTCAAGAGATCGTCAAACCGCTAAAACGTTTGTTTCCGTTTGAACCAGCATGACGAAGACCACATTCAATCGCAAGGCTCCATACATAAGTCAAATATCCTTGTCTAAATTATTTGGATGTTCGCATTTTCAACACGTATACGTTTCCTTAACAATCTTGTTATTATACGCATTGAAAATCCTCAAAAGTTTCCCTTTCCCATCAAATATAACCACCGTAACAGATAACATCTTCAATGACTTAAGCTGGCAATGGTTTCGCATGGGTAATGAAGACGATGAGGATTTTGAATTTTGGTGTGAGATACAGAAAGTGGGTGAAGATGATTTAGAAGATGATTTGGAAATAATATAAATATCATTATGGCATAGCCTATCGACATTCATACTACGATAAAACGAGTTCATATCGATTGTTTATTATTTAATACTGTTCCCACGATCAGTCGTAATTCTTTCCATTGTGTCGTATGCAACGCCATATGTTATAACGTGCAAAGGATAGAATCGCGAACTTATTGTGATTTGTGTCTACAATTCCTACCTTGATCTACTTTAGATAAGTTTGATTGACATGTTAAATCAACCGAACTTGTCTTGTGCGATTTTCTAGTTATAGCCATGTTTATTTATTCAATGACAATTGATATTAATTTGTTACGTTACAGTTCAATTATAAATTTTTAATATATTATAGTCTTTTACTTATGGTTGAAAACATGTACTGTATATACTGTATATAATCTTAAATAAAAAAGAAAAATTTTTATGTAGCAATTTATTATAGATCAATAACAATGTTATCAATGAGAGCAGAACTAATGGCAATTCTGACTGCCATATCAATACATGAATTAATTGATAGAAAATAAAATAAAATTTCTTTTTTTAACTCCAGATTTTTATTTATTTAATTTTAGATGTAGTGTAATATAAAAGTTGTTAAGTAGGTTATTATTTGTCCATATATTGCATTTTTACATTAACAATCATTTGTTTAAAATCTCTTGATGATATGATTTCTATCAAATTATTGAAAAACCATTAACACTTTATTAAAGTTAATCAAACTATTTTCAAAGACTAGACTTGAAATTTTAAATTTTAAGTTTTATCTGAATTTTTAAAAATCATCAATATTGAGCTTGCAATTTATATTAAATTTTATCAATTTGAATAAATATAATATATTATTTAATTCTTTTTTCTTTTTTATTTCTAATTAGTTTGTACATTTATTAATTTTTTCTTATTAGATGTTATAATTTGTTAAGTACTGTTTTTTATAAAAAACTAATTTTTATATTAATTCAATAGACATTGAAATTATAATTTAATTACAAAAAATATCATAATACAATAATTATTTAATTGGTATTACAATAATAATTAAAAGATAAAAAAAAATATAAAAAGTATTCAATTTCAAATAATAATAGTTTGGTGATTTTTTTTCTATGATTCTTGACATTTCTTCTTATAAAATTACTATAAAGATAATTATTTTAACTGTTGTCTTTTTTAAATAAGTAGCTATAATAAGCTCTAATAACTGAAATAATTTATAAACAGTATAATATTTTTATATTAAAAAAGTTATAAACAAGATATTTTTTATAATTAATAAAAAAAAACTTTATTATTTTTTTTTTTCCATAATCAAACAAGTATTTATTATGTTTATTTAATCATTGGAGTTGAAAACATACAAGTGTGAAACTTTTATACATAAACTAGACTAATACTTGAATACCCATCTCTGATTGAAAATCTCTAAGTATGATCTTGGAGATGAATAAAGTTGCTCGCTCATTTTCTCCATTCCTGAGAGAATTTGAGTTCATTGCCTGCAGTTCATCACTACAGTTCACCTTGACAAAATCTTAATTACTTTATATTCCTAACCATTTGGTTTCCTCCTTTATCTTATTCCATAGGGTCTGTGCGAGGATTTCTGAGATCTTGTTGCCTTTGGTTGCTGGACTTGTGTCTGTCGGTATTGCTGTTGTCTCCTTTTCCTTTCCCTGTGGTCTGCATTTCTCCTTGGGCTTGCCGGTTTTCCTTGGTGTCCTTGGGCTGTACTCTCTCTCTTTTCCTTTGTCCTGTGCTTTCTTCCAGTCATAGACTTTTTCACATCTTGTGTTTCAGATTTGCTGACGAAACCCTTTACTTTAGCCTTGTGATATTTTGTTTAGGATCTCTCGAGCTGCTGCTTTGTGTATATTGAGTACTTGACATGTCTGAGTTCATTCTAATGTTTCTTCTTTCGTCCACAATCCCATACTAATGTTTATTATCTCTTTTGCCAAAGACAATTTTTCAATTTTCCATTTTTCCATTATTCTGTAAATTGGTGTTAGGTTCTATTTGCCCTTCTTCTTATCTTTATTGGTATGCTTTGTGATCCAGGATGCGCACAGCTTGTTGAGAATGTTTTTCCATATCTTGTCTTTTTCTTTTTGAAGTTTGCTGCAGGTTGCCAAGTGGTCTACTGTTTCTTCGTAATCTTGACAAAAGACACATTTGATATTTGCTACTAGTTCTTGGGTGTTTCACTTGACTAGATTATCCAGGGTTGGCAATTCATTGTGTAAGAGCTTGATTTTGAATGTTCTTTTTTTCATCTGTTTAAATGAGGTGGTTAAAGATTCTTTATTATTGTTGTGTCGCCAGAAACCTTTCCAATCGATTTTGTTGTAGTTTGCTATTTCGTCTTTCCATCTCTGTTGTATCCTGTTAAGCGATATCTATTGTATTAGGATTTCTCTCATATTGACATCTTTGATGAATTCTCTAATTGAAATATCTATAGGGATCTTATTCCATTCTGGCACTGTGATTGGGGTTATTGTTGACAATGGTTTTCATATGATTACTGGCTCTTCTTTTGCTGCTTTGGCTAACTGGTCTGCTTGGTCGTTTAGCATGTCTTTGCTATGGGCTTTAACTTTGGTGAGTTTCAGTTGGATTCTTTTTCTTGTGACTACGTTCATTAGTCTTAGCCATAGTTGCCAATTTGGTATTTTCATTTGTCTTCTTAGTGTCTCTTTGGGATGGGGTTTGCTTAGCTTTTCAAAGGTATTAATACAGTTGGCACTATCTGTTTTGATTTCCACTCTTCTATCGTTTGGTATAGTTATTACTGCTAAGAAGATTGCTACCAATTCCGCTCTTGTTGAGGAGGACCAGCTATCCACTCCTGCTTGGAATGTTCTTCCTGGATTTGGTCCTTCTGTTGAAGCCACGCTGCTCCCATCTTTGTGGACTGATCTGAAGTTTTGCTCATGGCTCCGTCTGTATAAAATTGGTAATTGTTCTTTTTGTCCCGATTCACATTGAGTCTGTATTCTGCACAGAGCCATTTTCGGTACTCTTCTGACTCTACGTTGTCTTGGATTATCTGTATGCCATGGTCTTCTATCTCAACATATTGAAGTTTGGATGTGTTTGTATTATTTGAGCAGAGCTCTTCCAATTTTGCTTTGGCCTGGCTTTCCAGTAT